GAAGTTTTGAGGCAAAAGGCGATGAGGAATCCTGCAAATCGCCTGCTTCAAGACATGTTACTGCAGCAGCAGATACGGCTGAAGGTGTACCAGCACTCGGAAAGGGACAGACGACAGCTTCTAGCGGGAGTGAAAGTGGAAGTAGATGGGGAGACCCCCTCAGCCTTCCTGTCAGGGAAGATCAAGGCGAGGAAGGCGCAAACGTCAATTGTGGGGGTTCTGTACAAGGGCTCCCTCCATAAGGGCCCTCGGGATGTACTGGTGGTGGCGTCGGATTTCTTCCGAGAGATCTTCGGCATGAAGAAAGACACGGAAGAGCTGCTGCAATGGGTACCTGCAATGGGGAAAATCATATCAGTAGAGGAAGGAGAGCAGCTTGTTAAGAAATGGACGAAGGAAGAGGTGAAGCAAGCGCTGGAGGGCATGGCAGGTATCAAGTTGCCTGGACAGGATGGAATTCCGAAGGAGCTTTGGGAGCAGCACTAGGACGTCCTCGGTGGAGAAGTCACGAAAATGGTAGACCGGTTCGACTCGACGGCGTCGCTCCCATCGGCGATCAAAGAAACGGTCACGGTGTTATTGCACAAGAAAGGTGTTATGAATGGAACTACCGAGTAGCACGGAGGGCAATGGCGAAAATGTGAACGAGTGAATGACAATGAAATGAAAGACAAAACAATATATAGGAAACCTAGGCCGATCCTAGACGTAGAATAGGAAGGTTCGGGAAAAGTATCGAAGGGCCTCGATGTGTCGAAGCGAGGTCCAGAAAAGCCTAGGAGGCGGTCTGGAACCCTATCACTGGTTCGGAACTGTTCGAGTCGTACACCCTGTAGCAAGCCTCGGTAAGGAAAAACTGATTCCTTACAAAAGGACAAACAGATTTATTGGAAAATTACAGACCCATAACACTGCTCAACAATACATACAAACTGCTTGCAAAGGTCCTAGCAAACATACTAAAAACCGTACTGCACAGAGTTATCTCCAAAGATCAGCACGGCTTCCTCCCTGGCAGAAGGTTGGCAGACGCTGTATTAGTGGTAGCAGACATAGAGACATAGTCGATGTAGCGAAGAAGGGTGACGAAGATTGGTTCCTACTTCTGGTAGATTTCCATAAGGCATACGATTCAGTGGACATGGGCTACTTGTTTTCGACGATGCGGAAGATGGTGTTAAAATTATATATTTAGTTATATAATTGTTTGGCTTGGTAGGTTACCGAACTTTACTGTAGAGGGTACAATCCCCTCCTTGTATGCCTCTCTTTTTCTATTCCAACCCTCTTTTCTCTCAACTTTTCTCCTTCCTAAACCTCACGCCACTCCATGGCTCCTCCTAGCTAAACCTCATGCCTTTCCTAGCTTCCTAGCTAAGCTAGTCTTTTAACATGGTACTAGTGCAGGAGTTCCTCCCTGCTGGACCGCCTCCTCACGCTTCCGCCGCGTACTCCTTGCCCTCGTTCGCTCGCGCGGCCATGGCGGCCGCGTTGTGCTGCAGTGGCGGCGTCGTGATGCCGCTGGCCGCGTCGTGCCGCTGCCGTCTCGACGCGCTGCCATAGCGTCAGGCCGCCGTGCTGCCGTCGTAGCGTCGACGTCCCGCAGCAGCGTCGACGCCGCTCTGTGACGGCGGCGTCGGGCTGCAACCGGCCGCGCGACGCCTGTGGCGCCGCGCTGAAGATCCAAAGCCCCGCCCCTTCCCCCTTTCCTCTGTCCCCTCCTCTTCGCCACAGCCGCCGCCTGACTCTCGCCGGTCGTCCCCCTGTCGCGGAGTTTGGACACGCCGCCGGAAGGGCGGGGGCCGCTGCACTCACCGCCGTCGTAAGCCGAAGCCGTCGCCGTCGCCGCTGTCGTCGCTGCAGGCCTTTTGCCGCCGCACGCCCGTCGTCGCCGTCACTGTCGCCGCGGCCGGGACTGCCGCCGTCGCCATCTCCAAGGCCTTGTGGGCCCTGTTGGAGTCGTTGTGGCTGATGGGAATGGGGGTGCTAGGTTAGGGGGTGTGGGGGTGTGTGTGGGCTTGTGACTACCAAGCCTAGGGGGTGTGCTAAAATTATATATTTAGTTATGTAATTATTAGGCATGGTAGGTTACCGAACTTTACTGTAGAGGGTACAATCCCCTCCTTGTATGCCTCTCTTTCTATTCCAACTCCCTTTTTCTCTCTTCAACTTTTCTCCTTCCTAAACCTCACGCCACTCCATGGCTCCTCCTAGCTAAACCTCATGCCTTTCCTAGCTTCCTAGCTAAGCTACCCTTCTAACAGATGGGTATCCCGGAGACCTTCGTAGGCTAGGCGGAGGCACTACACCAGGGTGCAAGCACCAGGCTTCTCATAGATGGTTGGATGGGAGAGTCCATAGACATGCAGAAACGGGTGTGTCAATGTTGTCCCCTTGTGCCTTACCAAAGTCCATTACAGATTGCATTGCTCCATGTCACAGTTAATCATTGAGGCATTAGGCTTGCTGAACTCCCCCCCATGCTAGAGCTGGGGAAGCGGTAGCCTAGAGTTTGAGTTTTTCACTGTGTCGCATAATCATCAATTTTGTTTTTGATGCATGCCATGAATTATGAGTCGTGGCATGAAAATTTATTGCAGGACTCGATTGGATCCGTCCCGTTCACAGCGACACGATGCAATCAAGCATGGGGCCTACTGAATTTCAACGATGCATGAAAGATCAGCCAACTATGAAATAGATAACTGTGCATACATTGTTCGAAGATATATGCTTATTAAGAACACTAACATGTTATTACAGTAACAGGAAACCAACAAACTATGTAGGTCATATTTGAATATACAGAGGTTTTTTCCGAAATAAATGAGTGATTTTTTTTTGCAAAATCGATCGCAATAGGTTGCTCCGCAACCCAAAAAACTTATAAAATGGGATGCTTATATGAGTGAGTTGCTTCATGTAGAGGTGAGCTGGTTCTAGGGACTTTAGTGGTGAGTAACACACTAGTATATTTAGTTTATCTGTATTTCCATCCAAATTACTAATCAATTCACCTACCGAATATTTATGGCCGCGACTGGTGTATAGTGTAATCAGGCCTTATAGGTGCTAATATCTTTGTATAGTAAGTGAACTGTGATGCGCTACTCCAAACCTATCATGTACGCGCTAATGCCTACCAAAATTTAGTGCTACTGAAATGAGGATGCTGATTGGCTCGAACATGTCACAGCTGCGAAATATCAAGGCACCCCCCGACTTTTTCCAGCTGCCCAGCACTCAGGCGAAATTCCATTTGGTTTTGAGGTAACTTGACGGGGTTTGCGACCATCTCGAGGCCTCGTCAGCACTAGCTCCCTCTCTGTTGGCGACTTCCGTCCCGTTTCGTCAACGCCAATTAGAACTTCCCAATTGGAACACTCTCACGACTCGGAGATCTCCAGGATTTCATCGGGGCGTTACCTGGGTTGTCCACCCAGGCAGGGCTCCATCTCCCCCTTCCTTCCCTTGTTCTCACCCATAGCCCCCCGAATCGCGGAGCCGACCTGATCCTCAAGTTCTTTGTGGTGGGGTTCGAATCAAACTGGGTGAGTTGAAGAGGTGAGCCAACCAAGCTGGTGCTTGGGGAGGGGGTGGTGGGGCTTCAGTGAGAGGGGAAGGGGAAGGGGTAGGTTTTTTGGGGTGGCGGCTGGGGGGAAGAGCAGACTCGGGGGTACTGTTGGGTGACTACATTCGGGTTTGGAGCTGGAAGTTGGGGGTGAGATTGGATGCTCGAGGGGAGTCGTAGTGGGCAGGTCAACCATTTCGTGCCATAGGAAACCACATCGACACGAAGGCATATTCCACTGGTGCGATGTCTTGAGCTCCCGAAATCAGGGGGAAAAGCTCAAGCAGTTTGAGCGTTGGCCAATGAGTCAGCAGTTTCGCACTGACATGAGTCAGCAGGGTGACAGAAAACAGTCACACCAAGCCAAGACCAGCCTTCGCTGAACCCAACCACCAGCACAATTCCCTGCGACCATCCCGCTTCCCCGAACCAAAACTTTATCCCTGCGTTGAGGTGCCCCAAGCTCACTGACCAGCTCATACTATTGGTGGATTCGAGTTCCCTCCCTGCCCTCATTATCGGTCAGCATAGAAATCTCCGCACGCGAGGGGACATTCGGTTTGCAACCGCTTGACCGACCTCACTCCCCGCGCAGAGACCTGGCCAGCTTCCGCCAAAGCTTGCGCCCGCATTGCAGGCGGAAGGGGGAAGTCAAAACCGATTCTGTTCCTTCACACGAGGCACAGAGCAGAAGGCGGAAAAAGACTCGCGGAATCCGCGCAAGTAGCACGCGCGGTGCACTCCTCGGGATCAAAACCACGAGTCCCTCGAGGCCGGAGAGCCAAGCAGCGAGCGCCACGAGAGCAACAGCGTGGCGCTAACCTCGCCGCAGCCCCTCCCACGCAGCATTGATTGATCCGATCTCACAGGCGCACGAGCAAAACGTCAGCTTCCGCCTCCACAATCGCTGCGACGATTCCTTGTGCGAGAAGCCAGGCGTGCGCAGAAATTCGGTATGGGCGCAGGGCACTACACGACGACGGAGGTATTCAGACCGCGCAGCAATCCTTCTGCCTCAATGTCCAGCCAGCCAGCGCTGCCAAACTATCCGCGCACCCCTCGAAATCACCGTCCCTCTCGCAGGGGCCCCGCCAAGCTTCCGCCGTCACCCGCACCCCCTGATTTGGCTACCAAACCACTCCTCCCTCCCACCTCCCTTCCTCCCTCCCCTCCCCCAACAACAAGCTGAACGCCACTCTCGCTTGCTCACTCTCTCCTTTTCCGCCGCCTCCGCCAGCGAGCAACTCTTTCCGCCCTCCATGGCCTGGTCTGCTCACTTGCCTCGCGCGCTACTGAACTGTACCCTGCAACTCCATCCCCCCAACCCCCACCCTCCCCCTCTTCGTTTCAGTGCGGTTCATCCACACTAGCTTCAAAGATGTGTGCTCCTCTAGCTCGAACTCAACCACTCTTCACTCACAAGTGCACGAAATTTGCGAACTGGCTACAGGTTCTTCAAGCCAACCCATCCGCGTACCCCTTGTCTCCCCCTCTTCCTTTCCGCGCCCTCGTGCCATTTTTGTTCCAACTCCCCCTCTGCTTCCCCTGGCTCCAGCCAGGCAATTTTCCCTTCCCGTCTCTCCAGCTTGTCTCCCTCTCTTCCTCAACCTCTTCTTTCTCAATCGCAAGCTCTGACCCACAACCTCATCCGCCTCGCGTTCCAGCGATTCGTTGCTCCATCATCCGTCAGTCCGTCGCGGTCTCGAGCGTCTAACTATCCCAGCGCACCGCGCATCGCCGGGACCAGCCATGGCTGCTCCGTCATCCCCGCTCCGCCCAGTCGATCCCGTCGCACGGGGCGTCTCTTCCCTCGAGTCGTTCCACCCGAGGCGCGCGACTCTCGGAAGAGCGGGCGTGGGGACGGGTTACGCGGCGACGGCGGAAGACGAACCCGCAGCAGCCGCGGAGGAAGCGGATGCACCCGCGCCGTCGACGGCGCCGCGACACGTCAGCCGAAACTCCCCGAGTTCCGTTGTTCTCGCTAAGCGGGGCGATGGAGAAGCGGGAGAGGTGGCTGCAGCGCCTGTCATGCTGACCAATTCCCAGCGCGCGTCGCTGATCTCCTCCGCGAAAAACGCCCGCACAGCTGCAGCAATGTCGTCTGAGCCCCTCTCGACGCCCCCGCAAGCTTCGCTGGAAACTTCTGCTGCCAGGTCGCTGCAGCTTCCGACCATTCGCGAAGCATCAGAAGTAACCCTTCTTGGCGATGATTCGGCGGGGAAACCAGGGAGTTCACGACAATCAGTCGTCGCGGGGAACGGAGCCGCGAACGTTGATGGCGACGCGCTTGACTGCACCGTCTTTATCAACGGACGAGCCGTTGAGTCGACGGGCGGGGATGAGGATGAGGAGACGCGCTTCGTCTTCTGTCTCGAATCGCGGTCAAGAAACCCATCGAGAGCAGAGCAGCAGGTTGGTTAACGTAGTTAGGTTCCGTCGCTAAGAAGCGTTAGGAGCGGTTTGCACTCTCCAAGTGATTCACTGTAGGCCGAGCGTGGGGCGCTGACGAGCCAAGCGCAGCTAAAGGTCCGCATCGCGTCGACGCTAGTCCAGCTCGATCCTTCGGCGCGCGTTTGTTTAGTTCCTTCAGTTCGTTTCCGTTCCGACAATCTCCTCAGCAACAGCAAGTTCGAGATTGCTAGAGTCGCCGCGGCGTGGCAGACCCGCGGTCTGGTCTGTCAGACCCGCGTGGCAAACCTTTTGACCAGACACGTGGCAGACCTGCGTTTTTATCGGATAGGAATACCAGTAGAGCTGTCGCCGCCGGACCGCTTCGTCTTAGATGAATTCTTCAGTAGTGCAATCACCTGGGAGAGAAGTACCAATAGTACCAATAGTACCAATAGTATCAATAGCGCTCTTCGTACCAATAGTACCAATAGTATCAATAGCTCTCTTCGTTCCAATAGTACGAGTAGTGTTTTCCGAGGAGCTTCTTGTTGGCGTCGGTTCACTCGCCGAGTCGTGCCCCCGACGCTGCAGTCCCGTCGACGTTATCGAGGCTCCAATCCGTCGGTTAGTCTCCTGCTCACGGCTCCGCACGGTTGCACACGGCTGCACAGGGCTGCACACGGTTCTCGACACGGCTAGTCCAAGAGTATCACTCCACACGGCCGTTGCGCGTGTCGGTGAAGCCTCATCCGCAGACTTTTGTAAACCGCCGTCCGAAGTCTTTCCAGTCGTCGCGCTGCCGTCCGAAGTCTTTCCAGTCATCGCGTTGCCGTCGGCCCCTCGTCCTTCTCGCCCTTCTCTTTTCTCGCGCGGTTCAGCCTCGTGTGCCTTTTGAGTCGACTCAGAAGTCTCCCGTGCCTGCGCTCCGCGTGTGCTCGTCGTGTGTTCGTCGCTCCGCGTGTGCTCGTCGTGTGTTCGTCGCGTCGTCGTGTGTTCGTCGCGTCCGTCTGCTTTGACGCGTCTCATCCACTCTGTCCGCCACACGGCTCCCGCCCCGTCCTCCAGCCTCCGACCTACTCACACCGCCGATAGTAATGGTCCGCGCCGTTTCTCCAACCCTGTTCCAGTCGATAGGAGTCTAGATTTGAGGCGCCTCAAAACTAGACGCCGATAGTAAAGGTCCGCGCCGTTTCTCCATCCCTGTTCCTCTGTATCCCTGCGCAGTGGCAACCGCGTGACGTCGAAACCAATTCTTCCATGCTCGCACGCGCGCTTGACGCCGATTCCGCCGCTCCAGCAAGGGAGGGCGGGGAGGCAACAGCCGACGTGGGCGACGGAGAAGGAGAGGACGACGGGGAAAACGCTGCGGGGGAGTGGGGAGCGCGGGGAGTAGAAGCGGAGGCGCAAGACTCGACGCGAGAGACGCGGGAGACGCGGGAGACGCGGGAGACGCGGGAGACGCGGGAGACGCGGGAGACGCGGGAGACGCGGGAGACGCGGGAGACGCGGGAGACGCGGGAGACGCGGGAGATGCGGGAGTCGCGGGAGACGTGGGAGACGCGGGAGACGCGGGAGACGGGGTCGAGGAGGGGGAGTGGATGGATGGGACGAGTGCGGAGAGAGAGAGTGACGGATTGGGGGATGACGGTGGGGCTGATGCTGACGCGGACGACGAGCGTGTTGACATGGACACAGAAGGCGCTGACGAGGACCAACGAGAGGGCGCGGAGGAGGGGGAAGCTGATGAGGGGGAGGCGGAGGAGGGGGAAGCGGAGGAGGGGGAAGCGGAGGAGGGGGAGGCGGAGGAGGATTTGGAAGTTGACGAAAGGATGGATGAGGAGGAAATAGAAGGGAACAGAGAGGAGGAGGGAGAGGAGAGAGACGAGGAGGAAGCAGATGAGGAGGGAGGAGGTGGGGAGACAAGAGATGGGGAGGAGGGAGAGGAGAGAGAGGAGGGAGAGGAAGACTTGCTCGCAATCCCAACGGACGACATCGCGGGGCCTATCGGGTTGATGGGTTCGTCCCACCCAGGGGACTCCGTTCGCCCCGTTGACCCCGTTGACTCGATCGGGCCTGTTGACCGCGTTGACTGCGCTGACCCTATGGACGCCATGGGAGCGGGGTGCCTTGACGGCTTGGAGACGCGTTGCCTGGCGGATTTCGAGGACATGCTGCCCGAGGGAGAGGCGCTCGACATGCTGGTACGTTGAGGCGTGAGGCATGTTGATATATTGAACCCCCTTTGACTCGTTGACTCCGTTGATTCCGTTGACTGCTTGGGCGCCAGGAGGATAAGCACCTCGAGGACATGCTGCCAGAAGGAGAGGCGCTCAACATGCTGGTACGTTGAGGCCTGAGGCATGTTGGTGCGTTGACGTCGACTCCGTTGACTCCATGGACGCCATGGAGATTGAGCGCCAATCGGATTTCGAGGACATGCTGCCGAGGGAGAGGCAGGCGACACGCTGGTACGTTGTCTTCGTTGAGTCCGTTGACTCTGTTGATTTCTTTGACTCCGTTGACTTGGGGGCGGGGCGGGGAGAGGAGGCGGTTGACGTGCTAGTACGTTTTAAGTGCTGAGATGCTGGATATATAGGTGGCGTGAAAAAAAAAAAGAAAGAGAAAGTGAAACCCGCGTGTTCAACACCCGCCCCCCGCTTCGCCCCTCCCCTCTTTCCGAATGCCGTTCTTAAGTTGGAAATGGAACGGTTTTGACGAGAATATCCCAGGGTACCATGCTCTGACGTGAGCCATGGAGCAGGGTACCATGCTCTGACGTGAGCCATGGAGCAGGGTACCGCCTCAAGACCCTGCCGTGCGCCCTTGCACGCTCCGTGCTCCTTGCTGTGCTCTCAAGTTTCTTGGGGCGCCGCGGGACTTGAGAATCACGAATTTGGTGCAACCTGAGTATTCGGAGGGTTTTGGAGGGGTTTAGGGAGCTCCGCTCTAAATCTCGACATCAGGCTGTGGCGCTTGCCGTCTCGGAATAAGTGACGACGGCCCCCCTTCCCCACGCAGGTCGACGACTGCCTACCACCGCTCGACTCCAGTCTTCTCCCCCACGAACTCGGCTCGCCTCCCTCTGCTAATCACATACGCGCTCCCCTTCTTCCTATCATCCGCCCCCTCTCTCCTCCTCCCTCGCTGGGCGACGACTGTCTACTGGCGGTCGATTCCGGTCTCTTCCGACCTCGGCTCGCTCCCTCTACTAATCCCACTCGCTTCCGTCTTCTCATCATCCGCCCCCTCTCTCCTCTCTTCCCTTCATCGCAGGGCGACGACTGTCTACTGGCGCTAGACTCGGGTCTCTTCCCCGACGATCTCGGCTCTCTCCTGCCCTATCCCTCCGCCTACCCCTCGTGCGCCAAGCCCGCGCTCCCTGCCCCGCGCACCACTCTCCCCCGTCCGCCCTCCATGCCGGGCAAGACGCGCCCTGCGCCTCACAGGGGCGACGCGGGCGGTTGCAGGGGCAGCGGAAAGGGCAGCAGCAGCGGCAGGGACGGGAAAGGCATGGCTATTGCAGTGACCCGCAGAGATCTCAAATGCGAGTCGGATGGTTTTTCCGCAAGCCCTATATCTACCCTCGCGCCTCTGCACTCCTCCTCCTATTACTCCACTCCCTCCCCCTCCTCCCCTCGCTCTCCGCCCTCCCGCTCCCCCTCCCCTTCCCCTCTCGACCGCCTCTTGCTTCGCCCCATCCCTGGCAAACGGCCGAGGTCTCACCGGCCCCTCGTGCGTGGGCGAACCTGGACCGTTGATCTGCTGAACGACCTGCTCCATCCGACGGAGGAAACAGATTCGCTAGAGCACGAATACGACGAGCAACTACTGCCACACCAGGAGCAGCAGCGGCAGCAGGAGCAGCAGTGGCAGCGGGAGCAGGAGCAGGAGCAGGATGAGCAGGAGCATCAGCAGTCGCGGGTTCGAGCTTATAACGGGTATTTTCGCACGAACAAGCAGTACACTGCGTCCGTGCAATCGAAGAAGAACAAGAAGGGCAAGCAGAAGGGCAAGGGGCGGCCGCCGTACACAGGGAGACCGAGGGGGAGGCCGTCGAAGGCTGCTATCGCCGCTAGACTTGCAGCAGCCGCGGCAGCAGCAGAGGCGGAAGCAGCAGCTGTCGTTGGTGGGGCCAGTAAGGCAAAACCTGCGGCCGCCGGTGCTGCTGGTGCTGGTTACATTGTACCTGTACGCTCTTCCCTCCCATATGGAGACTCGGCTGCTTCTGTTGCTGCTGCTGCTGCGGCTGCTGCTGCTGCCGCTGCTGCTGCTGGAGAAGCGCCCGCCAGGCTGCATGCTGTGAAGCGCCACAAGGCGTCTGGTTTCTCCAGGTTGTCTGGTAACAGCCTACCACAGAACCTCACCGCCAACCCTGTCATGCCACGTGTCCGTAAATCAGCTGCAGAAAATCTCCCAGGAAAAGCGGCTTCTGGAGTGGGGCTTTCTTCTTTTTGTGAGTCTGGGAGCTCAGACCCTAGCGCAAGCACTGCCTCCTTCGGGGCAGATTTCATGTTCGGGCAGGTGGAGTCCGTTTTCCAGCTGCCCGAAAGTGCCGTTGCGGCCAGTGGCGTTCTGAAAGCCGAAGCAGGCAGAGGGTTGGTTGCAGGGACGGCACCGCAAGGCTCGACGTCTCCGTCCCTTCCAAGCCTGTCCGGCGCTTCGTCATTGGCTGGCGAAAGTGGTGGTTGTGGTAACACTCTGGCAGCTGGGAAATCGCCAGCAGGGGCGAAGGGCCCTCCCTCCTCTTCTGCGTCCGCTGGTGCTGCCGCTGGTGTTGATTCTGCTGCTGCTGCTAGTGCTGGTGACGGCATTCTCCGTCGCTGCCTGCACTGCTCAGTCACCAAAACCCCCCAGTGGAGAGCCGGGCCCTACGGCCCCAAAACCCTCTGCAACGCGTGCGGCGTTCGCTACAAGTCCGGGCGGCTGTGTGCTGAATACCGGCCGGCAAACTCCCCCGAATACGTGGCGGAGAAACACTCGAATTCGCACCGTCGGATCGTGGAGATGAGGCGGTCTGTGCTTGCGACGTGGCAGGGTGAGGGGGCGGGGGAGGGGGCGCGGGAAGGGGAGAGTATGGGGAGGGGGAGGCCGAGAATGGGGAGGCGGGAGTGGGGGTTGGAGAGGGGGTTGTGATGGGGGGAGGGAGTGTGGAGGGGCCGGTTCGGGGTACTGACGGGGGTTTGCTGTCTCCATTTTTCGAGTATAGGTGCCCGTATAAGAAGGGAGGAGGGAGGAGGAGAAAACGGGTGGTTGAAGAGGAAGAGGAGGAAGAGGAGAGGGAGTGGGAGGAGGAGGAAGGGGAGGAGGAAGAGGAGGAGAAGGAAGAGATGGAGGAGGAGTGGGAGGAAAGGGAGGAGGAGTGGAGGGAGGGGGGGGAGCGGGAGCGGAAGGGACCGAAGCGGCTGCACAGGCTCGGGAAGGCCCAGGGGAAGGAGCAGAGGTTCGGGGGAGGTAGGGGCGGAAGGCACAGGCTGGGGAACGGCGAGGAGCAGGTTGCGGTGCAGGGAGAGGGAGAAAGCGGAAGGGAGGCCGAAAGGCAGGAGCAGGGAGAATGCGATGAGATGAGGCGTGGGAAAGGGGTGGCTGGGGGGAGGAATGCTTGGGGAAGGGAGCGTCTGGGGAAGGTGGTATCTGCGTCTGGGAAGGGACGGAGGCTGGCAGGTCCAGGCGAGGAGAGGATGGCAATTGCCACAGAGAGAGGAGGGGAGAGGGAGGGGAGTGCAAGGAGGTTGGGCAAACGGTTGGGGCGGGGAGAGGGGTCTCAGGATGGGGAGGAATGGAGGGAACGGAGAGAGGAGAAGGTGCCAAGGGATGGAGGGATGGGGAGAGGTAAGGAGGGAGAGAGGGATACGAGGGGAGCTAAGAGGAGACGTGTGAGTGATGGGAGCGGTGCTTGTACCAGCCATTCTACTGACGGTCACTGCCTCCCTGGGATAAATAAGAGGCTGGTGGATGTGACCATGAAAGAGGTGACTGTAAAGGAGGTTGCGCTGTTTGCCATGGGCAAGGGGGGGAGGCTGAGAGTGAGGAGGGACGTGAGGAGGGGAGAGGTGGAGGGGCCTGTGGTGGTGCAAGTGGTGGCCTCCCTGCCTTCCTCCAGAGGCAAGAAGGGAGCTAAGAGGAACAAGGGTTCAGGGGTTAAGGGAGCAGGGGGCAAGGGCGCTGGGACTGGGGTGCACGGAGCGAAACATGGCGCCTCAGGTTCCGAGTTTAATGCGGGAGGGAGGGGAGGTGGAGAGAGTAAGGGTCAGGGTGACGTAGCTGTTATTCTTGGAGCCGCTTCAGCTGCTCCGTCTGCCGATGCTGCTGCTGTATCTGCTGCTGCTGCTAGTTCTCTTGCTGATGCTGCTGCTGCTGCCCCCACCATAGGCGGGGTGAAAGTGAGATTTTCACTAAGAAAGCCTGGTCATGGTGGGGGGGGCATGAACAAGCTTGCTCGAAGGCAGGCGGAGCAGCATGCGGCAGTGAAGCCGCATGGCAATGGCAAGGTGGAGCCAAGTCTAGGAGCAGGAGCGGGGGCAACTGGTAGCACAGGAGGCACGGGAGGGGTGAAAGTTGAGCAGGAACAGCTGGTACCTGGGCCGGTAGATTCGAGCGCTGGAGGGGTTGTGAGCGTCCCTGTTCTTTCCCCTGGTGCGTTGTTTTCACCTGAGCCGGCACCTGACGCGGTGCCAGTGCCTGTGGAGCTGGCGCCTGAAGGCAGGCTTTCTTCTCCAGTCCCCATGGCCCCTGTTGACGACGACGTAGCAGCGGCTGGTGAGCTCACTGTTCGCACTGCCCCTATTCCCACTGCCCCTGTCACGCCCGCTGCTGCCACTGGTGCTGCTGTTGCAGTTTCAGATCATCTCGCCACGGGTGCAGCATCTGCCTTGGCTGCCAACGCAGCTGCATCGCCTGCTGCTGCTGCTCCTCTTGCCGTTCCTGCTGCCGCCACCGCAGCTGCAGCAGCTGCAGGCACGAGTGCAGAGGTCTTCCTGTACCCAGGAGCAGCTGCATCCGAGCCAGGCCTCCTTCTGCCTGAGCCTGCTCCCCCGCTCCTCAACCCCAGCCATGGCGAGGCGGACTGCCTGCTGCTGGTGACTGGTTCGCCTCACCACGAACCGGAATCCATTCTGCTCCCGCCCGAACCGAAGCCCACATGCTTTGGGATTGCCTTTGAGTCAACTCAGAAGCCCGCAGGCCTGGAGGCGTCTGGAGAGTGTGGGCTCCAGTCCAGCCTGCTTCTGGAAATGAAACCGCTGGCAGAGCAGGAGGAATGGGGGCCTGGAGGGGTGGCTACAGAAACGTCCTGTGTCGATGCTCCTGCTGCAGCGGTCTTTCCCAAGGAAGAAGGGGGAAATGGCTCCCTTTGCGCCCTTTCTGACCTGATGCCTGGTGAAAGCGCATCTGGTGCAGGTGCATCTGGTGAACGTGCATTTGGTGCAGGAGTAGGAGTAGCTAGTGTGGGTGCATCTGGTGTAGGTGTGTCTGTACCCAGGTCACTGCTCACACCTGCACCGTCCATGCAGGGGCTGATTCAGCAGGCGCGGCAGCAGCTGGCGTGCAGCAGGGAGAGCAGTGAAGCCAGGGCAGAGCCGCTGCCATCACCTAGTGGAGGGTATGCTGGTGCCTGCGGCCCTGCTCCTGTATTTTCTCCCATTGACCTTGCACCTGCTGATCCTGCTGCTGCTGCCGCTGTTCTTGCTGCTGCGGGAGGAGCCTTGCTGGCACCCGTGGCTGCTGCATCGCAGGTGCCAGCTGCACATGTGGTTGAGGCGGTGGAAGGAGGGAAGCTGATTGGAGGTGCTTCTAAGGGAGACGCTCCTGCCCTCAGTCGCTCCCCTTCGATGCTGTCTCCCTCTGCTACCGGTGCTGCTGCTGCTGGCACTGCTCCTTCGGTGCAGTCTAACCGTGGGGGAGGGGCTTGCTCTAATGGCCTCTCCTCCACTTCCAATTTTGTCGCAGCGTCAGCTTAGCCGCTATACAAGTGTAACAGGTATGCTTTTTGGGATTGCCCCTGCATGCGCTGTATCTGATGGCTGTGCGAGCCATATTTGGTAAATCCAATCAGGATGATTGAGCTTGTGTGAGTTCTAGTGGCCAAACTTGGCCCTTTACTACCTGGCTTGTGTGTGCTATACTTCGATTTGGTTTGTAGCAGATGTATGTTTGGTTTGTAATTGGTCTAGCAAATTAAATATCAGGGGTCTGTGTTCCACTAATGCTGGCGTACAGGTGAACACTCATTTCTGTTTGATAATTAGTCAGCTAGTGATGGGAACGAACTAAATGATTCGTCGGCAAAGATCCAATCACGCCAGCGCACAAGTGGCACTTTCCACAGGCAACCTGGCGATCCGTTGTCTCAGATTCTTCTGTGGGGGTGCGCTTCGCCTACCGTTCACTCCTGACCGTTCCTCCGGAGCTCTTTCCCACATGGATTGCCGACGTGGCTGGCTTAGAAAGCATTTCTGACCACCCGTGCTGCCCGGCTTGTCCCCCAAATCTTCAAATTTTCCCCCACTCGCCCGCCCCAGCGTTCCTCTCCCCTCGTCCTTCCCCGTCTCCTGCTGCTTCTTCCGCAAATCCTTTTCCGCCTTCTTTTTCTTCCCCTTCGGCAATCCCTAACAGGTGTTCCTCAGCGCCCTTGGGAATCCCTTCGCCTATTATAGACGCTGAAGGCACGCTTTGCACAAATCAAGGCCTCCATCGTCCAGTCCTCCGAGTCAGTCCTTCGAGCCCAACCTTTCCTTCCACACGTTTCTCGGGCCACACGTTTTTTCCCGTCCCTCCTCCCAGCCTGTAGTACCATATCTGCGTTCCTTCAGTTTCTTAGGGGCTTCTGGTGTAGACCCGTGGTCCTGGTGCTTTTCAACATTGGCAGAAAGCTGGTTGCTTTGAGAATTCACTAGTCTGCCTCCAATCGCTTTAGGCTGGGTTCTCTCATTCCTCCGTCTGGCTTTCTCTCTATAATTACCGTGGCGATCTGTGGTTTGGTTGGGGCGACCTTTAACTTCGTCGAGTTGCCCCTTACTCACCTTGTCCTCACTTGCCGACAATGGCGGCCCAGCATTGGCTAATCTCTTCGCCAGATCTGCGATCAGGCTATTGTGCTGCTGCCGTCACGTCACGACGAAGCCATACGCGCAACAACCATGTCGCCATGGATCAACCCTCGTTCCGGTTAGCGGCGGCCGATCTCAGAGTGATTAATTACACGACGAATCAACGAGCGCTTCACGGGCGAAGGGATGGGCTGTTAAGGATCACCGATGCTTTCAGTACCGCAGATGCATCCTCGCCGTCCAACCGACGCTGGCTACGGAACGGGAGCGGTCGTTTACCGTCGTCGCTTTCTGTCCAATCAGGAGCTCCCGCTCTCCGAACCGTACGAGCTGACGTGGCAGGTCCTCCTGCGTCGGTGGTAGATCAGACGCGGAGGGAGATCGATGATTTGGCCAAGTCGATCAAGCAGCTACAGAAACAGATCCGTAGGAACGAGCTGTCGCAGGCGTCGCAATCGTCGCAATCGTCGCAGTTGTCGCCTGCCCATCCACCTAATGGTGGCCGGCGGTTACCAAATCCGCAGCAGCCGGAGCTCAGCGACAGCAACGAGGGCTCAGTAGACTCGCCGTCCAATCAGCAGCCGATGCCTCTCCGGCCAGCCAATGAGATTCGAGCACGTGTCGATCACTTAGTGGAGCGAGCGCAAGCCCTCCAAGTCATGGCGTCGCAGGGATCAATGTCGTCGTCCGGTCGCGTGCCGGTTCAGATAGCAGCGAATCTTAAAGCCCTGCGACGGGATTTCAACTCCGTGCACAACATTATCCGCCTCTCCGCCCCCTCCTACCTCTCCGACACACCGCCATCGCCGCCGTCGTCGTCGTCGTCTCGCCCTCAGTCGCGGTCGCAGTCGCAAACATCGTTACCCGCTGCCTCCTCCTCCTCCATCCTGCCGTCGCCGTATTTCGTCCACGACGCAATCTCGTCGCCTCTCGAATCTTCGCCGTCGTCGTCTTCGCAGGAGCCCGAAGTCGTGGCTTCGGGTCGTGCCAGCGACCGCCCAAGTGGCTCGTCTGCTGCTGGCCCGTTCTCAACGTATTCGTTCTCGACGTCGTCCCCGTCGGTCTCTCCTCCCTCGTCGAAAGGCGGCGAGGACGAGGACGAGTCAACGATGAAATTCCGCTTTAAGGCGAGTGACCAGATTTTGTTACGCTTCTCTTCCCCCCTCTTTCTGCCCGTAAGCGCTTAGGATTCCTGACCACTTTTGCATCGACTGCTGCTCTGCGACCGGGCCTTGGTGCAGTATTCCTCCCTAGATAATATCCCTTGCCCGTTTCCCCTCACCAGCAGCACAGCCTTTTTAGGCTGTTGTGGTGCAGTATTCCTCCCTAGAGAATATCCCTTGCCCGTTTCCCCTCACCAGGCTGTGATAGATTTTGAGAATTCTCAAAAGTCTATCACAGCCTTATTAGGCTGTTGTGTTGCCGTATTCCTGCCTGGAAGATATTCCTTCCCCTCACCAGTCTCCTACCTCTACAGATTATTCCCCCACTTAACACGGGCAATCTCCATGTGTGTTCCACTGTGCTCACCCCCGTTGATGCGCGCGTTTGCTTCTCCCGTTTGGTCCTCTCCCAATCTCCCCCTCCTCCCCCCGCCAGCCTCGCTCGTCCTCCGACTCTCGGTCCATGACGGAAATCCGGCGCCGAGTGCAGGAGCAGGTCAGTACTCGTGATGGGCACCCTGGGGGGTTATACTTGTGCACGGTGGGGGTATCCAGCAGCAGGTCAGCCGTATGTGATTTTTGCGTCTACTCAAATCCGGCGCCGAGTGCAGGAGCAGGTCAGTACCCGTGGTGGGCACGCTGGGGGGGTATCCAGTAGCAGCTGAGTAGCCGTGAGGTGCACGCTGGGGGGATATCCAGTAGCAGCTGAGTAGCCGTGAGGTGCACGCTCGGGGGGGTACAGGAGCAGGTGAGTATCAGTAAGAGGCACGCTGGGGGGGGCATGCCAGTAGCAGGGTTGGCCTCCCGGAGTGGGGCACGCTGGAGGGGGTTATCTCCGTTTCTAGTTCGCTCCTCATCCGCTTCTCATCATCTTTGACTTAGGATTTTTCCTCTCCAGTGGAAGAGCGACTTTTCCGGAGTTCGTTAAGAGCAGTTCTGTTGTTGCGAAGTGCTTAGGAACGAACTGTCTGGTCTGGTGCACCATCGTGGCAGCTACGACCATGTCGGTTGCCTTGTCGGGTTGCCTTGTGGTATGCCTTGTCGGGTTGCCTTGTCGGGTTGCACTGTCGGTATGCCTTGCTCCTGCCCTCATCCGCAACCCTCTTATTCATCATCGCACTGTCTCGCTCACTCTAGTCCCGACAGCTCCTCCCTACACACTCTCCCTCCCTCTCCCTCTCCTCCTTCCCCTCCTTCCCCCCGCACCCTCACCCTCACCCTCTCCCTCTCCCATTTTCCCGGGGCAGCTATCGTCCATCCATGGCGACTGACATGTAGCCGACCGCAACTCGGATGGGAATGCCAGCGCCAATTCCCTCTCCTCCGCCCATTCCCCCTCTGCCTCCGCATCCCCCCATGCCCTCCATACTCCCCGGGCACTTATCCTCCATGGCGACTGACGTGGAAGCGAGATGGGAATGCCAGCGCCAATTCCCTCTCCTCCGCCCGCTCCCCCTCTTGCCTCCCCATCTCCCCGTCCCCTCCACACTCCCCGGGGCTGCTATCCCCCATGGCGACTGACATGGGGCCGAGCGCCACGCAGCTGGGAATAATAGCCCTCGGCTGACATGTGTCCCCCGCTACCACTCATTCCCCCGCTTGCTTCCCTTTCCCCTCCTCTTGCCCCCCTTCCGCCCTCTTTCCCCCCTCCCCCCGTCCCCTCTATTTTCCCCGGGCAGCTATCCTCTATGGCGACTGACATGGAGGCGAGCGCCACTCAGCTGGGGATTATAGCCCCTGCATCCATGTCACCACCTGCAACATCACAATCATCATCATCAGCGGCAGCAGCAGCACCATCAGCGCCATCTGGGGGCGATTCCCCCGCCGCCGCCTCTCTCCCCTCCCTCTGGGCGCGCCTCTCCGACCGCCTCTCCCAAGCCTTCCGCGCCCTCCTCTCCCCGCCCCCCTCCCGCGCCTCCCGCTCCTCCCCCGCTCTCCCCTTGTCTCGAACATCCCCCTCCGCCTCTTCCCCCTCCGCCGCCCCTTCCTCCGCCGCCTCCTCTTCCTCCTCCGCCTCTTCCCCCATCCAAAGGGGGAAAGCGGCAGTGGGGGGAGCGGAGGACGCTTCAGGGGGGGCAAGCGTTGGGGGAAAGGCAACGAGTCTGGCGCGGCTGGTGGGGGAGGTGCGCGCCAAGGGGTCGCTGATAGATGCTGCGGATGAGGCTCTGGAGGAAGAAAGCCGAAGGCTGCAGGGGAAGGTGAGAGGGGACGAGGGGAAGCGGAGAGGGGGGATTGGGGTGGGGTAAGGTATAGATAGAGGAAGAGGGGTTGGGGGCGGTGCGCGCCAAGGGGTCGCTGATAGACGCGGCGGATGAGGCCCGGGGTGAGCCGAAGGTTGCAGGGGAATGTGAGAGTAGAAGGGGGAAAAAGGGGGTTGGGGAAATGAGGGGAGGGGAAAGAAGGGGGTGGGGAAATGAGGGGAGGGGAAAGAAGGGGGTGGGGAAATGAGGGGAGGGGAAAGAAGGGGGTGGGGAAATGAGGGGAGGGGAAAGAAGGGGGTGGGGAAATGAGGGGAGGGGAAAGAAGGGGGTGGGGAAATGAGGGGAGGGGAAAGAAGGGGGTGGGGAAATGAGGGGAGGGGAAAGAAGGGGGTGGGGAAATGAGGGGAGGGGAAAGAAGGGGGTGGGGAAATGAGGGGAGGGGAAAGAAGGGGGTGGGGAAATGAGGGGAGGGGGGAAAGAAGGGGGTGGGGAAATGAGGGGAGGGGGGAAAAGAGGGCGGGGGAAATGAGGGGACGGGGGAAAAAGGGGGTGGGGAAATGGGGGGGATGGGAAAAGGAGGTGAGGGGGGTCTGGTGCGGCCGGTGGGCGATGAGCTCGCCAAGGGGTCGCTCTTGACGGCGCTACTGATACGGCTGGTGGGGAAGGTGGCTTCTTAGTGGACTCAAAAATACGGCAGGTGGGGCAGGAGGCTGTGACACGCCAATGGCCGTGTCCAAGCCCATGCTCTCTCTCTCTCCCTCTTTCCCCCTCCCACCCTCCGAGCGGACGAGCTATCAGCACTCTCTCTCTCCCTCTCTCCCTCTTTCCCCCTCCCACCCTCCAGGCGGACGAGCTGTCAGCAGCAGTCCGCGGCCGCTTGTCTGTAGACGACGTTCAGGCGGTAGTAGGCTCTGCAGTGGGCAACGTGCTGATCGAGCTGGTGCGCGCGCGCAGGCGCACGAAGCAGCTGGTGGCGCAGCTGGAGATGAAAGAGGCTTAGCTGCGGCTGCTAGCTTGCTCGTGGGGGGGACCCTTGAACCCAGAACCAACCAACCCCTGACCTTCACTCTTTCCTGCCCCTCTCCTCCATCCTCCCTCCTTCCAACGCCCAAGTGCAGGCCGACGAGCTGTCAGCAGCAGTCCGCGGCCGCCTTTCCGTTGACGACGTTCAGGCGGTAGTAGGCGCGGCAGTGGGCAACGTGCAGAGCGAGCTGGTGCGCGCGCGCAGGCGGACGAAGGAGCTGGTGGCGCAGCTGGAGATTAAAGACTCGGAGCTGCGGCTGCGGCGCGAGGAGTGGGAGAAGGAGCGCGCCGCCATGGTCGCCACGCTGGACGCGCTGGTTAGGAAAGGGACGCAGGGGAAGAGCGAAGGGGGAGCAGGAGGAGAGGCTAACATAGGAAATGTAGGAGGCGGAGAGGTCATAGGACAGGCAGGTATGGAGGGAGTGGCTTCTGGAGCCGTGTTGACACCTGTAGAGGCGATGACACGTGGCATGAGCCTCACGGACGCAATGATGAGGATCCTTTCCCTAGAAGCGGCTGTAGCGCGGGCCGAGGAGGCCGAGCAGGCTACATCCGTGCGGCTAGAGCGCGTGGCTGACGTGCTGGGGCGGGAAATAGCGAAGCTCAGAAAAGACAAGAAGTCGATCGAGGTCCGGGCGCAGATGCTGACGTGGCGGCTGGAGATGATGCAGCAGAAGCTGGAGGGGCTGCTGGGCGGCCTGCTGGAGATTAAGGACGCGCTGATTGGCGGAAAGGTGGATCTGGGAGTGCAGCTATTGGAGGAGTTGGTGTTTGACGTGGAAACGTGGACTAGGCAAGGGAAGAAGATGCTAGATGATAAGCTTCTAGGGCTGGAGTCTGGGAAAGGGGCGGCGGGAAGAGGGGAGAAGGAGGAGGGGGGAGGGAAGGCCGGTGAGAAAGGTGAGGGAGAGGAGGGAGAGGAGGGGGGTAGAGGGAAGGTGAGGGCTGGGTGGTGGAAGGAGGCGCCACCGGGGGAGTGGAGTGTGTATGAGGAGAGGGAGGATGGGCGGTTAGTGGAGCTTGGGGAGGAGAGGAGAGAGCAGGAGGAGAGGAGGAAGAGAAAAGAGCAGGAGGCTGCTAGGGAGGCGGAGGAGAGGGAGAGGCGGAGATTGCTGGAGGAGGAGAGAGAGAAGAGAGACGCAGAAGAGGAGGGAGAGGAGGAGAGAGTGGAGGAGAGAGAGGAGGGAGAGGAGGAGAGAGAGGAGGGAGAGGTTGAGAAAAGGGAGGGAGTTGAAGAGAGTGGAAGTGGGGGTGAGAGTGAGAGGGAAGGGGGGGCGTTAGAGGTCGCTATTCCCAGGGGTGATGACGTGGACCAATCAGGAGAGGAGGCTGGTGTGCAGATAGGGGGCGGTGAGACTGGTAAGGGAGGAGACGGGGAGGAGGAGAGGAGTGGGGGGGCGACTGAAAGGAGTGATAAGAGAGAAGGTGGGGAGGAGAAAGAGAGGGGGGGAGTGAGTGAACCAAGCCAAGAGCAACACGATGGGGAGGAGGAGGAGGGGATGAGAGAAGAAGCGGCTGAAGGGGAAGCTGCTAGCCAGGAGCATGGGGATGAGAGGGGTAGCAGCGAGGGGGATAGGGGTCGGCAAGCCGAAGTTGCAGATGAGGGGGAGAAATCAGGCTGGGAGGACCGAGAACAGGAGGAAGGAGAGGAGGAAGGAGAGAAGGAAGGAGAGGAGGAAGGAGAGAAGGTGGAAGGAGAGGAAACGGCAGGGAAGGAAGAAGGGTGCAACGAGAGTGTTGTGGCAGAAGAAGTGAGTGAGACAGTTGAGGAGGGGAATGGGCTGGGAGGAAGCACAGAGGACTTGGAGGATACTGGAAAGCAGAGGGGGAATGAGGAGAGGAGGGCAGAGGGGAGCAGAGAAGGCGAGAACGGCGAGGAAGGGAGTGGAGAGAAGGAGAGTGGTGAGGCGGGTGAGTTGCATGAGAGCCCAGCTGAAGGGGCCGCCCCCCCACATTCTGAAGATAGCAAGGAAGGGCAGGAGCCAGAAGGCAGGCCATTGGAGGGAGAGCGGTCGGAGGGAGTGGTAGAGGGAGGAGTTGGGCTGGGAGGAGAGAGTGCCGGAGTGACGCTGTACTATGAAACGGGGTGGGCTGATGTGTTTGTGCATTTCAGTGCGGACGGCGCCGGTTGGACTGATGTGCCGGGGTCGAAAATGGCCGAGTCGCCTCTCGTTGGCTCCAATGGTCTGCCGCTCAAGGTGAGCACCGCTCAAGGTGAGCGCCTCTCAAGGTGAGCGCCTCTCCAACTGACTAGCTCTTGAGGTGAGCACCGCTCAAGATGAGCGCCTCTCAAGGTGAGCGCCTCTCAAGGTGAGTGCCTCTCCAGCTGACTTGCTCTTGAGGTGAGCTCCTCTCAAAGGGGAGTGCCTGTCAAGGTGAGCGCCTGTCAAGGTGAGCGCCTGTCATGGTGAGTGCCTCTCACCAGGTGATCGCCCCGCCAGTGACTGCCATGGAGATGGTCACCAGCAATGTGCACCCACCCACCCCACACCCTCAATCTGTCTCGTTCCTAGCTGCAAGTATGCATGTATTTTTTCCGTCTGCTCCTCTCTACCCACTCCCTTATGCCAGGTCATTTCCCTGTCAGTCACTGCCATGGCGTTTGTCACCAACAATGGAGGCACAGACTGGGACAGGTGGGTGCAGGGTGGGTGGTGGGGTGAACAGGTATTGGGGTGAACGGGTGGTGGGGTGAATGGGTGTTGGGGTATATGGGTGCTCCTTGTATTCCTGTGCACCCCACAAAGCAGGGACTCGTTTGTGCATTATTTGCATCCCTCTCCCTCACCTGTTACCCCCAACAGTCCGCCGCTCGGGGGTAACTATACTATCACCAACCCGGGTACATACCTCCTCAGGTTGGGCCAAGTGGAGAGCTTTACTCCATCCTAGTGTTAGGACTCTGCGCCTATTACGCTCGTTGATAGGTTGTGGATTGTCCCGCATTTGGGAAGAATATGAGTTGGTTGAGTAGGCTATTGTCATGGGCCCCAAGAATCTGTCAAATAATATTATGCTGCTATTTTGTAGAGGCATCTATTGGGTCTCTTGAATGGAGAAGGAAACTTGAATCCACATGTATGCGGTGTATACAGGTTAGGTATGTGGTACCCAACCTCGTTATACGTGTATGGGAGGTCTTCATATGGCGGAGCAGCTTTTGGGACAGGCTAACCTGGTCTGGCAAAAACCGCCAAGGGAATTTTCAGGTCTTGGCTCATGTGACGGGAGCAGGCGTAACGGACTGTTGGGACCTGATTGCTCGTGACTTTGCTGAAGTGATTGGCTGACACTTACCTGCTGACTTGTCGTCTTCACTGGTGCATAAAAATTCCTATCTATTATATTTGTCTGTATTATCACGGGGTGAAAGGGAGGTGCGGCCAGCCAGGCGAAGGGGAGGATTGTTTGGAAGGGAGGCAAGGAAATCAACCAAACTATTTTCCGAGGCCGTAAGGCTGGTTTGGGCCTGCTCAAGCATACGAGCTGTCGAGCCGTCGATCTTCCAGTCTGAACGGCCGATAAGAACTGCCCTCAAACAGAATTTCGGTCATCATTGCCGCTGGGGTGAGGTTGGGTCGCTTTTTGAACACTCCCCTGCCCGTTACTGTACATGGTGGAAGGGTTTATCCCCCAACCTGCCTCCTTCCACCATCCTTTCTCCACCAATCCAGCTCCTTCCAGAAACGCGTCACCTTGCCGCTCAACGCGCAACTCCATCCCACAAATAAACAACGCGCTCACTCATTCCACCAATCTCCCTTGAAGTTCTACTCTCACGCCCGAGTTAGTTTGTGCTGTTAGACCTTGGCTACTGATCTTGTCCGTGATTTTTTTCGTCTTCATTTTTTCTCAACATCGACAAAGAAGCCAGTTCCTTGCGCCCCATGGCTGAGTACAAGATCGCCTCTACCACCTCGACTGCATGGCCATCCGGGCAGCCATCCGGGCCGTTCCTCGATATGCTACACGTCGTTTCAGCCGTCGATATCCGCCACGTGTTCGATCTCATGGATCGCGACGGCGACGGGCGAATCTCAATTGTTGAGTTGGCCTCCGTTCTCGCAAGCCTCGGAGAAGCACGACCACTGGATATGGCGCGGAGAATGATGGCCCAAGCAGACACTGACGGTGACGGATTCGTCGACTTTAATGAATTTCTCGCCGTTAACAAGACTTGTGCGGCCGCTGGCGCTTGCGCAGGCGCCGTTCCTGCAGGCTCACGGGCTAGCAGCAGGAGGAGCGGAAGCACCGGCAGCCGCGGTAGCAGCATGGAGGAATTGGAATTTCCTCGTAACGGTAACGATGCTGGGGCTGGCGAAATTTGCCTGGCTTCGGCTGGCGACGCCGACATGGCTGTCGCGAATTCGCCCGAATCCGACTCCGCGTCGATGGACGAACTCCTCGCGGCGTTCCGCTCGTTCGACAAGAACGGCGACGGTTACATCACTGCTGACGAGCTTCGCGAAATGCTTTTGCGAATTGGAGCTGGCGAAGGGGATGACGACGGAGATGTGACGTTGGCCGAATGCGAGCGGATGATTCGCGGGGTTGACTCTGACGGGGATGGCCGAGTGTGCTTCTCGGAGTTTGTGAACATGATGAGGTGATAATATCGGTGGGGAAACGACCGTCCATTGCAACTTTAAACGTGGGCTGACCTTTACATTAAGGTGAGGAGCCAACCCCTCCCGTTGGCTTCCAAGGCATCTCTGCCTAAATCTCGAATAAGATCATGTGATACGGTAGTTGCTGAACAGCTATGGCGGCTTGTACATTGCCGTAGTTGATGCATTGACCTTGGCCTTAGAATGGCCTCTGTTGGATCGTCGTGCCTTCCTAGTGCTGTGCCTAGTAGCAGCTATTTCTTGTGGGCTGACTTGTCCAAATGTTTTTTCCATTTGTGGGCTGGGCTGCTTTAGCTGGTCGTATCATAGGAGAGCTGTCTTTCAACGCGAACATGTTAGACTTCACAGATATACCTTTCTGAATTATCTTGTATTGTTACGAGGACGGCGAAAACGAACATGACTGAAGATGAGGTAGGGGTGACTCTGGTTTTAGGGCGTGTCCCAAGCGGATCTTTGTCTCCGGTTTTAGGGCGTTAGAGCGTGTTCCGACGGACCTCTTCCCAGGTATCCTCTTCCCACAATCGGCCCTCGATGGTGAACGTGTTCCAATGTCCATTTTCCCAGCTAACTCGTTTTGGAATCGTGTTCTTCACCGCAATGAATCAGCCCCCGTAAAAAATCGAACTGTACATTCTCGTGTACGTCTGACAATTTTGGGCCTGAAACGAGATTTGAAAACATCCTTGAAACTCGATAACCCCAATCTCGTGTCACACCACCCGGAACCGCACTAAACTGTTTCGCATCAAAATTACGCGATACTGTAGCGCGCGATTCTTGGAAGAGACTGGCTGGGAAGAGGCTGCAGGAACACGCTCTAAGGGGGAATGCGGTCATTCGTGCGAGCGTATGGTTCAAAGCGCAACCCTGCCTTGCGTGACGGGAGGGGGAATACAGTGCAGTCGTCACAAGCATGAGATCTCGTGTCAGAGGCAATCCTGACACAGTGCTGGAGATTGGTGAGATTATTGTTTCCAGATTGATAATACACAGTCATGGTTTTCGTTGCTATATTTCGTATAATTGGACATATCAGAACCTGTATAGTCGATAAAGGTTTTATACATTCATTATCCTTATTCATGTCTGAATGTTTTGTGGGCTGAATTGTAACCCATGTTCCATGCGAAACCTGGTAGCTCGCTAGTCGCGAAAGCATTGTTGTGTAGAAGCTTCTCTGAAATAGGTCAGCGTGCGATTTTTCACAAACCCGCGCCGCGTCTGAAGCCTGGCCTACCTGAACGAGGCGCTCATTCCATCAAATTGCCCACATTCTCTCCCTCGCGAAAATTCCCTTCGTTATGCGAGTCGCCACTGGTGAGGAGAACCCTCTACTTGAGCCGTCACGTGACACAAAATGTATCCGTTTATTAGCCGTCATCGTCGCATGGTCGTCGCAGCGCTGGCCATCGTGTCGCAATCATCGCAGCGCGCTCGCTTCAAGTATTTCCTGCCCTCACCAGATTGTGTCTCCAAGCCAGGCTAGGTTCAAACCTGTTTTCGCCCGCTCGCGAAACCAAGGCCTGGGCGCGAAACGTGAAATCCAGCTCGAGTCGCGCAAATCGAAAATGGCCCAATTCAATACTTCCTTCGAACCCCCCAAATCGACATCCTCTTCCTCCCACCACTTCAACCCGCCCCCCCACCCGCCCACTCACCTCCCCCACCCCCCCCTCCGGCTCTGCGTGCGCAGCATGTTCTTTGCCCAAGTCAACAAATCGACGGGTGAAGAAAAAAAAAAACACAAATGTTTTCGCGAATGCTAGCGTGATTGAACGATGGGACCAAGGCCCGCCCACCGCACACACAGGTGAACCCCTTCTCGCGGCTCGATTTTTCTCGGAGACGCCCTTGGGCGTGCCGAGCTTGGCCAGCTGATTGCGCAGCCACCTCTTTACTGCATCTCACTATACACAATAACGCGAGCACCAAACACTGTGTGGTCTCCCCCACGCGCTCCCACGCCACGAACGAGCAAAGCCAGCGCTACAGAGGCGCATGCCTTGGTCGCCCACAAACCTCGTCTCTCGCCCTTGCTTTTCCTGATTTCCGTTTTCGTGCTGTCAGTTAGGGCGATCAAGCATGAAACGATCACACGAGCGCGTCGACCTCTGACAAGGCCTCAACCGAGCTATCCCTCCCTCGCTCTTGCTCAGCGCTGCCTGCTTTGTCTCCAACAGCAACCCACCAGCCTCCCCACTGCCGACCAAGCACAGCCCAGCCCTTTCTCCGTGCCTTCACCCTAATTTTCTCCCCGACTGTCGCTCTCCCTAACCCTCGAGTCGAACGCTCGACACGCCCGAAAGCTCTCCCTGCAATCAACTAACCTCCTCGCCGCCGTCACTACCGCCGCCTCACCTCCCACCATTTCCTACCTCCGTTGCCCCTCGATTCTGTCGGTAGACAACGCGCTAGCTGCTAGTTTTCTCAGGAGCAGCAGCACCAACGAGGTCAGGCTTCACATTTTTCCAGAAGGCGCTTTCTGATAGTGGACGAGTAACTGAGCTCTGGCAGAGTGCTCTGATAGTCGAACGCTCGGACGATCGGACGCAAGGCCATGTGCGGATGAGACGCAGGTCAGAATGAATCGCCGAGCAAGATTGGCGCCCCTTTTAGGAGTAATCTTAGCGTTAGCTTTAGCGAACGTCGCCGTGTCGCAGCAGCCTCCCGAAACTCGTCGCGCAGGCCCCGCGACAGTCACACCGTCGTCCAATGGCGCCACGCCAGATAGGTACATCCTACAGCTCTCCAATCAGCCCACCAATCTGGGGCCGCTTCCGGCGGTCAAGGCGCAGAACGCGTTTCGCGGCGCACAAACCGTCGTCCCAGCGGCTCTAACTACGCAAGTGGGAAACCTCGCTGGTATGGCTTTGCCTCGCAAACCTCCCGCCGGGTCCTCCTCGCCCAACAACCCCGCTCTCACGAAGATCCTGCGGTCCGCTGCGAAGAATATGGCGAACGTGGTAACCCGAAAGAACGCGAGTGATCTCGTCAGCGGAGTGGTGCAGGCGGGGGAGGATGGTTTCGCCTACGCACAGGGGTTCTCCACGGGCAGCTTCTACAGCTCGTTCGCCACGTTTTACGGCGAGAAGGACGGCTCGGGAACCATGGGCGGCGCGTGCGGGTACGGCAATATGTACCAAACGGGGTACGGGTTAATGACTGCCGCCGCGTCGTACGCGCTTTTCAGCGACGGCTACCAGTGTGGCGCGTGCTACGAAGTTAAGTGCCTCGGATCGCCGGCGGTTCCGGACAAGCAAGTCTGCTCGGGGAAAACGGTTACAGTTACCATCACGAACAGCTGCCCGCCTGGCGGTAACGGGGTCTGTAACCCGCCGAAGCATCACCTGGACATGTCGGAAGCCGCGTGGGGCGTGCTGTCGAGCGTGCGCG